TGAGGGAGCCTTCCACTGGGATTGCCTCCTGCACTGGGTTCTCTAACCCGACTGCTTTGCTCCCCAGATTGCTCTTTGCCCCCTTTGCCATGTGAGGCCACAGCGAGACATTTACCTGACAGTTTGGAGGTTGTGTGGGTCCCTGACATGTGGTCATGTGAGTGGCAGCCTCCCCATGAGTCACTGAAAATGGGAAAGTCAAGTGTTTTGAGCAGGAAGTCCCTAGGGAGGAAGCCTCATTGGTGTCTGCGGAGATGGTTGTAAGTGCACCTGGGGGCTCATTGAGACCGTGTTCTTGCCCTGGCTGGGGTGGCTCCGTTGGCTGAGCCTCAGTCCATGCACTGAGAGGTCCCCAGTTTGTTTCCCGGTCAGGGCACATGTCCAGGTTGCGGGCTCAGTCCCCAGTAGGGGACATGCAGGAAGCAGCCAATCAGTGATTCTCCTCATCACTGATGTTTCTATTTCTCTCTCCCTCTCCCTTCCTCTCTGAAATCAATTAAAAAATATCGATTTTAAAAATAAATAAGTGTTCTTTCCTCAGTTTGGTGGCACGGGGTCTTTGGTCGCCCTAACCATTCTTCCTAAAAGAGCAAAGTTTCAACCTTCTGGGCCTTTAAATACAGTTCCTCATGTTGTGACCCAACCATAAAATTATTTTCGTTGCTACTTCATAACTGTAATGTTCCTACTGTTATGAATTGTAATGTAAATATCTGATATGCAGGATGGTCTTAGGCGACCCCTATGAAAGGGTCGTTCGACTGCCAAAGGGGTCGTGACCCATAGGTTGAGAACTGCTGATTTAAAGGATGTATAATGAAAAATAAGTTCCCCTTTTGCAGTTAGTTATACTTGTGTGTGTTTCTTGATGTTTAACATGCAGTGGCAGGAACATACTTGGACATTGCTCAATGGGTTCATGCGCTTACGTTACCATGACTCACCTGCGGTGTGTAACTTGGGCATATTTACTTTATCGGTACAGTATGATTCACTTCAACTAATCCATCTCTTAAAGGCTGCTTTGTATTCTGTTATTTCACTATTTACTGTAACTTAACAAGTACTCTGTTATTCCACCCTTGCTTGGTTTCTGGTCTTCTGCTAATACAAAGAATATGTAGGAAGCATCTGTGTACCTGTATCTTTGCGTTTTGAGGCTGGTATAAATCTAAATGTCAGATTGCTGAGTCAGAGGGCATGCAGATGATAGAGACGGTCCCTACCACAGGGCAGTGTGGCATCTCTGCTTCCCCACATCTAACACACACATCCTGCCCCCATCGAGAACTATTAGACTGTCCCACCTTTGCCACTCTGGTTAAAGATAAATATCTCCTTAATTTTATCTGTAGCTGCCTGTGGTTGAGCATTTTTTAATGTGTTGGCCATTCGTAGTTCTTTACTTTTAAAAAAAATACATATATTTTATTGATTTCAGAGGGGAAGGGAGAGAGAGATGGAAACATCAATGATGAGAGAGAATCGTTGATCCGGCTGCCTCCTGCATGCCCCACAATGGGGATTGAGCCCACAACCTGGTTGTGTGCCCTGACCGGGAATTGAACCATGACCTCCTGGTTCATAGGTCGACACTCAACCACTGAGCCACACCGGCCAGGCTGTAGTTCTTTTTCTATAAATTCACTGTGTATGTTCTTCTACCATTTCTCTATTACATTATTTCTGTTCTGACTTTAAGAGCCCTTTGGATAATAAGAAAACAAAGCCTTAAGTATATGTAAGCACTAATTTATGTTTGCTTGCCACTTTTTGTTTTTCTAGAAGAATATTTTCATTGTAATTCAATATCCCCCCCCTCTTTTTTAAAATATTTTCCCTTTTAAAGTTAAAGTTCTGTTTTATGTCAATCTTAGGCATTCCTCACTCCACTATTACATTTTTTCAAGTGCATTTATTTCCTTCCTACAGCTTCGGTGCTTTTATTCAGTGTCTTTGTTCCATGTAGCACTTTACGTGTGTAAGAAATCAAGTGTAAAGATTCAGCCTTACTTTTTTTTTTCTTTCTCAAAGTGCGTAGGCAGTTGTATAAGCATCATCTACTGAGAGATGCAATTTTCTCACTCTACCACATGCACGAAATTCTCACACAGGATATGCTTCTGAATGGTCTGTCAGTTTTGTTGATCAGATTGGTCCTGGGCCAGCATCACCTGGAGGTTATAATACATTTACTCTCATGGGGACCAGGCCTTCATTCTTGCTTTTTCCCCCACAAATGTCATGTTATCCTCTCCCCGCCCCCCCCCCCCCCCCCAGCTTATCTTAGGCATTTATTCTTCCAGAAGAATTGTTGCTTAAGCAACAATTAAGTTTAAATATTTCCTCCAATACAACTCACTGTGTGGAAAGGTGTCACCTAAGAAATGTCATCTTCATGTAAACCTCACAGGGACCTGTGACCTGTGAGGACAGGAAATCCCCCAACACACACACACAACACACTCAGTCCCCGCTGTGTGGGCATCTCACAGGCCTGGGGGTGGTGTGGCATCAGGATGCATTTCTTGTTTTCATGGGAGCTGCTGGGCTGACGGCATGATTCAGAAGCTGAGCTGGAATCGCTGTCCCCTTGACTCACTAGCCAGTCCCAGTCTTAGGGCACAGGTTTGAAATGTTAAGGATTTCCATATGGGGAGCCCCTCTCAGGTCCCACAAACAGACGCCTTCGGCTGGTTAGAAAAAC